CCGGCTGAGGTATATGTGAGCAGATACATTTATGTAAACTGATAGAAACAATGGGATGTGACGTAATTATTGGTGGAGTGTTTAGGTTTTTGGTGAAGCATGTGTTCTGTTTTTTCCACAATGATAAGATTAGCTGGGTGGCATGTTTTGTTAATGGCTGATGTCAGCCTACATCTCAAAATGATACTTTCAACTTTCCTCTGTATGGTAGGGTGATATGGACAGTTTTTTTGGGAGCCGTGTATGGAGTTGTCTTTGGTGCTACTTGACGTCCACAACGGTTTATAAACTTCATCGGATATCCATTTGCCATGAGTATTTCTTTCAGTAGTTTGATATCTTCATCCTTCATATTTGATGCATTGATACAATAGATACTGTTAACCAGGCATTATACTGAACCTCGCTTGTATTGTATTCAACAAAAACTGTGAGAGTTCAGGTATTGTCCTGTCCATGTACGCTTTCTGTAAACTGAGCATCTTATTGAAACACCTTATCGACTCAGGAGTGTGTCTAGGAGTGACAGATCATTATTATTCTCTTTCTTACAAGTTAGACTGATGTGAATTTTTACGGTGTTAAGTCTTTTTAGTAGACAAACCATATCCTCATGTATCTCACAAATTAGTATGATGTCATCAGCATATCTCTTGTGAAGAGGAAGTTCAGCGATGAGATCACAACCAGATTTTCGATATATGACATATAAATATCAGCCAGTAGTGGTCCTAACAGACTACGCATAGCTACACCGTCGATTGTCGAAAGCGTTCACCTTCAAATGTGAAGTGGACTTTTTGGGTACACAACAATAAAGGCTTTCTCAGAAAGGTTGGAGAAATATGAAACCACAGGTTTGTAGGAAATATATAGTCACAGTCTTGGACAACGGCGCGTTAACGAATAAAAAATTAACATCGAAATAGTACATAATCTTGTTTTTGATATTCATGTTACTAAGTCAACAATTTGAAAAGAATCTGACAATGAAAAACTACAGAATTCGTTTCGGACTGGATTTAACATTTTCACCGACGATTTTGCAACCAGCGATTAAAAAACATATCACCCAGCTAGTCTTCTCATTGTGGAAAAGACAAAACATTAACTGTTTCAAATTGTGATATCTTGGGGGTGCACGCAGTTTGGAAGGTCAATCAATTTTTAACAGAACTCATTCATAGCTGTATCCTGGTTGTATTCCGTTAGAACTTGGGTAGATGTTCAGAAGTATCTCATCTCTTGATCTTCACTTCTCACTCTAACTAGACGTGCTAGACACGTTGGTCAAATATCTAAAGCCGCCTCATGTTCTCTACCTGTAACGACCATGCTTCACAGTCATACAGCAGAACAGAGCGAATCGCAAAACAGTACGCCCTACTCTCCATATGCGATCAGATATCGCTGCGGCACACCAGATGGCGTTAGTTGGCGAAGGCCAGTCGAGCATTTTTACATCCATGTAGAGATTTCGTGTGTCATTGATCCACCATAACTGGTCTGACATCCCAGGTAAGTAAAGTAGTCAACGTGCTCAATCATTTCACTCTCTATTGTAAGACAGGGCACCACTAAAGACCAGTCATGGAACAACAATTTGCGATTGGGTGGCGAGAGACGCATTTGAGACATTCTGCAATTGTTACTCAATGTGTCTAGAACACTCTATATCCTGTGAAGGTCTTCATCTAACGGGAATATGTTGTCCACGTACTCCAGATCCACCAGGGATTCTCCTATGATAAGATCAATTCCTCTAAAGTCAAACAACGACAGGAAGACCTCCATAATAACGTCTGTGATATAATAAAAATGAATAAGAATGGAGAATGGATATCCTTGACAGGCATCACGGGACGTACTCAACTCACCTGGCAACTCAGTGTAGGTTCTAACACGATCATGGGTGTTTGAGTACAAAGCTTTCAATGGAGCGATGTACTCAGTCGACACTCCTTCCAGTGAAAGACGCCATAAAACCTCTCGATCGATCGAGCCGAATACCGCCTTCAGATCCAGAAATACAACTAGTGTCGGGTGTTGGTAAGTGCGCCTGTGTTTCAGAAGCTGGAAGAGTGTGAATATCTGGTTAAAACACCTACAGCCAGGTCTGTAACCTGCCTGGTTTTCTTGTCTTGGCTGTTCCTGAGCTCTATTCAGATGTCTGATGACTATTTAACCTAGAATCTTAGACACTATATAAGGGTGATATCCCATGTGGTTATCGCAAAAGGACTTCTCATCTTTCCTGAAAACTGGGATAATCAATGATTGAGACCAGTCAGAGAGGATCATATCTGTTTCCCATACTCTAGTTAACAGTTTAGTTAATTTGACCAATAATCTATCATCGTCTCTAAATACCTCTGGTACTAGTCCCTCTGGCTCTGCTGCTCTTCCTCGTTTCAGATCGGTTACGGTTTTCCCAACCTCTGTAAGTGTCAGGGTTCCTGTCTTGATGTTCGATTCAGCTTTAACTGGATAGCGGAATAGCAGCTGGAGGCCATTTGAGCTGTTCCTTGAAGTGCTCCGCCCATCGTTCCAGTCGTCTCTCCTTGAAGTTAATCACAGACGAGTCTTTCTCCGCCATAGTCACGGTAGTCACTGACCTTTACGTTTCAGTTTTCTTAATAAGTCTAAGTAGCTGTCTACTGTTACCTATCGCCGCTGCCTTTTCCACCTTTTTAACCTTCGCTGCCCACCATATTTCGTAGTCATTGCGTAGACTTTCTGTCTGTCTGCATTTAAGTTGCTTCCGCTCCTCATTGTGCTCAGAGCCTGCAGGGGTGCGACCGAGTGCATCTATTCATTCAGAAGTTGCTGAGATCCACGGACCCTTTTTAGCTACTCTGTCATGGTCGGCAACGATCTTCAACGCTGTTTTTACAGCAGATTTGAAGTAGCTCCTACCTTCTTCCAAATGAGTGATGCTGTTGTGTTCCGATACCTATCCAACCAGTTTCTCACTGAAAGCAGACTTAGTGCTCGCATTGTGGAGCTGCGCTCACAATGGTCTTGCTGCGTTAGTTCTTTTAACGTCTATATAGACGCACACATACACTTGACCGGACGAAAATGTGGTCGCTGTCCAAATTCGTGCTCCAGAAAGAGCGAAAGTCTTTGATTCACCTCCCTATGCCAGAAATAACTGACAGCAATATGTGTCCACCGATGAGTTAAGGTCGGTTGACGCCGTCAGACAATGTATGTCTTTATCTCTGAAGTTCGTGCAGGCTAGAAATAAGTGGTTATCTCAGCGTAATTGTAGCAAGTGGTCATTGTTATCTTCTCTTTCTGCTAGGGTTCCGAAAGTGCCACCTAAGTGTCTTTCTGCTTGACCTAGCCTACCCACTTGCTCATTAGAATCATTTAGAAGAACAACCATGTCTGTTCTTTTGGCCTTCACCAAACCGTTGAGTCGAATAGCAAACACATGAATATCAATTGGGATCCAGTCGATCAGTGAACTTTCTGCACTAGGACTCAATGCTATGCCCCTACCTAAAAGACCACGAGAACTAGCCATCGAATCTACAGAAACTCGAAAGGTGAATTTAGATGATTCATCATAATGGCTGAGTGAGGTTACGTGAATAACTGCACGTGGGTTCTGTATACTTGTTTCACAAACACTACACACATCTGTGGTCCGAGATGCTAGAAAAACTTATTGATCGATTTGAGAGAGGGTTCGTACATTGAAAGATCCAATGTATAGTTTGGAACACGATTTCAGAAGATCAAGGATGTTGTCTCGTAAACTCAGATTGTTTTCAAGACCTGGAGAGCTGGAAGAAATTTAAAGTGGTGTAGGATAATTGGCCGAGAGACATGAAGGAAGATTAGAAGTTAGTGATGTGGAAGGTGGAAAGCGATCTGAGAGAACTTGAGTGGGGACAGAGTTGAGAATGGTTGACACTTTTCGACTCCTACAATATGAAAGGTTAGTTCTTCTTAAAGGATCTGAAAACAAAGGATTATTTCGTAACCTCAAAGTTCATGGAAAAACTGCTTGAGGCCGGACACACAGCCTTTAAGAAGCTCGAAATTTAAGTTTGCTTGTTCTAAATTCAACTATAAACCTAGGTCGCCAGTACTGGTATCCCACGTGGGTAGAGGGGAGCATGCTTTTTGTAGGGTCAACCTTTTCTAATCCTCTGGATCCCACAGGGAAGGCAACATCAACGTGTCATTGCTGGTCATCCAAAGGAAACATGTGACTGTCGTCACATCCCCCACCCAACTAACGCTACAAGTAAGCCCTCGGACTTTCATCATGGCGTCAAAACTTATATAATAACTGTAACTGCATTTTGTCTGAACACTATCTAGCAGACCATTCTAGCACGTTAGGACCTCGAGGGAACAATAGTTCCACCAGCATAGCTTGTTGGGTCATTGTCATTTGGAAATCCGACCGTCACTTCAAGATACTAGCTGTCGATAGGAGACTAGCTAAGTCCAGACTGATAGACCCTACTAAGATGGGTAATCTAGAAGATAATTCAACCATAGATATGCATGCGATAACACAACCACACAATGTGATAGGATACAGTAACAGTCCTAAAGACTAATGTAGTTAAGTGAAGAGAGAGGCTGATCACTGGATCTCTGTTCATGGGTTCAACGCTTAACACGTCTAATCCATCGTCTTCACTTTCCTGAGGTATTTTCACAAAAGTGAAAGGGAAGCAGTTAATGTTCGCTGCTTACTCTAGTAGATCGACAGATGATACTGCCATCTCTCATGTGTTTCCTGCCTTGTTGCAGTCCTTAGAGTTAAGTCCTGTTGTTCAACCCAATAGAATAAAGGTAATCCTCTACCTACTTGTTGAACTTGTACGTAATTGTGTAAAGCACCATACGATATAGTTTCCGTATTGAAAGCCATGCCTATAAGTTACTTCCTATAGCTGAGTAACGCATATTTCATTTTATGTACAAGACTATCTCATGCTTGAGGAATTCTTTCTAATTTTTCTACATTTTAGGCAGTGTCTTCGCTTGGGCACGCGAACAATCTGGTGTCCATTTTAATGGTCTTCAAATATGTTCAGACTTAAGAAGAAACCGACTACGTCTATGCCGAAAGCTATGCCGTTTGGTACGTTTGTCTAAGTCTTCCAAACTGCGGAGTCAGTCTCATCCTGTCCTCGTCAGTCTTCGACATGATCTGATGAAAATACGCTCTCGTGCTTCTGGGAAGGTGTTAACAGAAAAGCCTTTAACAATAGTATCCCCTACTCCAGGTGATATAATTTTTCGTTCTTATTTTTCAGTTTTTTACGTTTTTATTTCTCTGGGTGCAGTACTGAGTGACACGGTTTTGGATCTCTGAAGGGATAGTAGCAGATATGCCTTACTGACTAGTGTGAATAATTAAAATACTTTGGTCTAGGGCTTTCTGTTTGTCACCCCTTAACTATCTAAAAGTTACCCTACATACTTCTAACAACTTTCTCCCCGTATAGTAACTGGTTGCATATATCAAGCCTGTTTGATAAAAATACTTGCGAGTTTTTGGTTTTAAAGCCTAGCACAACTGTTTAAATATGTGTGGCATACATTTCACATTAGTAAAGTGCAAGGTGATACTGCAGGACTGATTTGTATCCCCAGATTGAAATTCACTAGTCTATTGTTCATATTGTAGTGCGCTCTGCTGATGAGAATGGATATAAGCAGTATATGTTGAGAGGGCAGCAGAAATCATAGGCAATTACCAGCAAAGGGTAGAGATTCTGCCCAGAGACAATGTGAGCGTATTAGGAGCAAATCAAGATAAAGTAGAAGAGGAAATGAAGCACATTATGCCATTGACTGTCTTAGTGGGAAGTATACAATATTTGATGACTACTGTACGAGATGTCAATAATAGACATTCCTTCCCTCGTCTCTATCTTATCGTTTCCTTCAATTGGTTTCGCTGCTTCTGGACATGGATGAAGATTCTGTGGCCTGTAGTGTTCGAGGATGGAAACATCAAGGTCTTCCTCAGGGACTTCGAGTCGGTCACGAAGCTAGTGAATGTGTGGGATCCAGGAGCGAAGGCCATGGTGCTTGGCATGTTGCTGAGGGGTGGAGCGAAAGAGGCATATGATGGCGTGCAATGTGTGGATTGGAAGGGGACTTGGCAGAGAATGGTTGGACGGCTGGAGGCGGGGTTTGACAGTCTAGCGGACAGGGAAGTGGCAATGCGGCAGTTCCGAAGCATAAAACTTGGAATAGATGAAGACCAGCTGCTATTGGCTATGAAGTTGACAATATAATCCTTAGTGACCTAACTACTGATGAAATCTTAGTAGGACTGCACTTGTACATTTGAAAGATCTACGTTGCCGATAAGATATCCGATTGTGTATAAAGAGATGATTTCACTTCGCAGCATTCCTCTCTCTCTCTCTCTCCCACTCTACGGTTAGAAATGTGACTAGGTGACAATTTCTTCATCATAACTGTGTTCTCGTATCATTGCTCGCATATGACGCAATCAAAGCTTAAACAATAGTAGACTTCTAAGTAGGCGAAGTAGGTGAATCAATGAATAAACTTGTGAACTTTTGTCGACTGATATGTATTATTCATTTTCTAAATTGATGATAATATCCAGATTATCATCCTGGAAAATATGAATATTCACCTTCAGCTTTATTCATTTCTTCTCCTTTCTCTCTTACCCACTTTTTGTCTACACCAATCTCATTTCTTTATTTTGGTTCACTTAGAAAAGAAACTACTTTGTACTCTGAAATGATGCAGTTGTTTGCAAAATACTATGTTCATCTATTTGTTGTATTGTTAGGAGAGTAATATCAGTTAGTCTATTGATTTCTACGGTTTTCCTTTATTTATTGAAACCTTAATATCTATTTTATAATGGCTTGTAAGAAAATATAACACTTGAACACTATGATAAAATATAATTCTATATTATAAAAAGCAACAATTTGAACGAAGAAATTATTCTTTTCAGTTGATATAAACTATGATCAAGATTTGATTGTATAGTATGCCAAATATTGGGCACTAAGTAAAAGGTTGACATTAGATATAGAGCTTTATTTGTGTAAATCACAAAGGGTTTGAAATCAAATAATCCTAACGCTGTTTTGCACAGAAATCTAATCTAAGCTTCTTCATGGAAATAATTAAAATTAAAATATCAAGGTTATATGCAAATGAATTCAAAAAAAAACGTGTATTTAATCTCCTTGTCCTTATAGTCATTGTCTTTCTAAATTCAGTGTGAAATTGTATTTCTTTTGTTGTATTATGTATGTGCTCCAATTTATATTCGTTTTGATTGTAAATATCAGACAAAAAGGTGATTGGTGATATTATAGTCATTCGGTAAATTTATAGGTACAAATTGAAAAGGATGAGATGGATGTATGTATACAATTCCCTCTTTTCACCTAAGTTTTTAATGCTGTCGCTTTATCCCAACCTATTGTGTGGTTGTGTGTAATTGTTTGCAGAGCTGTAGGCGAGTTTTTCTCTAGATTTCTTATTTTATTAGAATCTACTAACGCTGATTTAGCTAAGTTTTTGTGCTGTGTTATTCTAATCGACCCTGGTCGACTGCTTTGACCTATGTACTTGACCTTGCAATCATTGCAAGGGATTTGGTAAACCAGATTATTTTACTTAGTTGCATCGATAGGATCTTTTAACCTACAAAGCTTGTTTCTAAGCGAGTCTGTTTGTTTAAATGCCACTTAGCAAAATCAAGATTAGTAGATCCTAATAAGAGAAGAAATTCACAGAAAAGCTAGGCTATAGCTCTGCATGCGATGACACACAATCACACAGTAGGGTGGGATAGGGCGACAATCTTAAAAACTAACTTAGTTGAGTGGAGTGAGGGAGAGATTGATAACCGACTGAATTTTTGTTTATCGAATCAACACCGAATACATACAGGAATAGAAATGATTCTGCACCTGTCCCAGATATATGGAAAATTCTACTACCCTTGTCATCATAGAGAAGGAGAGAGAATTAAGAATATATAAAGTCTGTCTCGAAGTTGTTGAGTTACCTGCTGATATGACTGTGGACAATAAATTGTATCCGAAGGGTTATCCAGAAAATGCTACTGTTTCACTGTGTGATATTTCTAATAAACAGACTAAAATGGAATTACAATCGACCACAGTGCCCAAGTTTTACTCTTACATTAATTTCAGTTAGAATCAAGTGGTGAATAGTGTTAGTGAATTCTCTTCGCATTGATTTACCGGATTAGAGTGGAAATAAGTGGTAGTAATGATGATGCTGAAGAAGCTTGGACCAGACTGCCGTGCAAAACGTTGTAGATTTGATTTCAAACCCACTACTTACACAAATACAATGTATATCTAATGTCATTTCACTTCAGGTTTTACACCTATAAAATACATTTGTACAGCGTATTGTCAAGCCATGTTAGGGGTAGGTACATTTTCAAAATGGAATGAGATCTAGGGGTTGTAAGGAAATCGGCTTATCTTTTTTAAACTAGTCAATATTGAGATGATACATATCTACAGAAGGATGATATGGTGATGAACAAAAACATAACTAATAAGATGGTAGAATGGCCTTTAGTTAGCTGAAGGCCAAGGGAGAGGTAACGATCAGATATGTTCTTTCTGAATGCACAGCTCAGGCTTTATCAATCTTATTGTGACAGCCCTCGCTATGTTGAGCAGGCGTTGGCGAGCTATACGTGTTGTCGTTTACGGAACACGATGAATGACATTGAAAACTTTATTAGCATCTGTGTAATGCCTTGTGTCAACTAGATGCACTAGGACTCAACTTTTCACCACTTTCACCGTACCCTTTCCGAACCAAGCTGGTAAACACTCTCGTATCGGAAGACGCACCTGCTTAATCGTACACCCTATGTAACTACTTCCACAGGAGCGATTAAACTGATATATGCAAGATGAAGAGCTAAGATTAGGTAGGCTATCCTTTAGTCTCGGACTGAGTTTAGTGTTCAAGAAGAAACTGTAAAGCAGATTTGTACACATGAAAGTGGTTTAAATTTGTGTATGGCTGGCTGTTGCTTCCTCACAACTCAGTATACCTCCCTGACTGACTGTTTCTACTTAAAACTTTGAAAGCTATTTCAATACTAATGTTGTGACGTGTTTCTATGATATGTTTAGGTATAGATGAAGAGGGTGATCTCATCTGCCACCAGGATTTATCACGGTTTCACACTCCATTTGTTTTTGAAGCCATTTAGGTACATGTTCTCCCACGGTGACTCAACTGCACGTCTGGATTATTCCGGCTGAGGTATATGTGAGCAGATACATTTATGTAAACTGATAGAAACAATGGGATGTGACGTAATTATTGGTGGAGTGTTTAGGTTTTTGGTGAAGCATTTGTTCTGTTTTTTCCACAATGATAAGATTAGCTGGGTGGCATGTTTTGTTAATGGCTGATGTCAGCCTACATCTTAAAATGTTACTATTCAACTTTCCTCTGTATGGTAGGGTGATATGGACAGTTTTTTTGGGAGCCGTGTATGGAGTTGTCTTTGGTGCTACTTGACGTCCACAACGGTTTATAAACTTCATCGGATATCCATTTGCCATGAGTATTTCTTTCAGTAGTTTGATATCTTCATCCTTCATATTTGATGCATTGATACAATAGATACTGTTAACCAGGCATTATACTGAACCTCGCTTGTATTGTATTCAAGACCAGGTATGCTGTTCTGTGGATTCAGACCGTTGTCGAAATTGAAGATGAAGTAGTGCTAGAGTGCTGACAGAGTTGTGAAGGCGGTTGACACTTCCCGGCTGCCCACACCCATGAAAGGGACAGTCATTACCCACTTTCTATGCTATACTTCGTTTATGGGAATTGCGCATGTCATATCATGTCAACCAGAATATATCGATGCTAGTCAAGAACTGCGAAAATTCCTGAAATCTCCGGTGTTTATTGACGAAACATTCAAAAACACAAGCAGCTTTTCTCGCTAAATTTTTCATCGATATTCCTGAGAGGTTCTGCAGCTTGTACTGAGTCTAGCTTGGTTTATTATTCAGTCACAGTACTCAAGGCAGCTCATTTGCCCACATCAAACTATTTAGGAGGACGATTTTGATAGCCATGGAAAAGAAAGATGAATTTGGTGCATTTTGAACCTGATCAGAGTTCAAACATACGTTCCAAGAATGGTAGTGATCTTGGATATCTCCTACTATCGTTAGCCAATCGCATTGTCATTTGTTTGAATTCAGGTTTGAACGACAAATGGGGTGCCAGGTAGCATAGTGTTGATCACTGTACTGAAAGTTGCTACCCGTCAGAAATGAACAGTGGTTAACACTAAGCTTTAGAAAAAGATATCCTTAATCTTACCGATGACTCACTGACCTTCCTTAACTACCTAAAGAAATTTCCGCTGGTCTGAAACATCCACTCTTTGCCTTCGGTTTCCAAGTCAGCATTGGGATATCTTAGAAGACGAATTTCACCTTGAACAATGCGTATGATATATTTGCCCAGTACAACATATCGAACAATCTGATCCCACACACATTTACTTGTCAGGTCAATACACATGAAACCGAGGGGTGGAAAGATAAATACAAAAATTAACATAATAGGCTATTACAATTAAGAAAGATGAGAATAAATAGGAAGAGTGATCTAGTTGAACCTCCTAATCTTAATAAGAAAAAGTTTACCAAGATAGGTTTTAGTGTGTAAGAAGAAACTGTAAAGCAGATTTGTACACATGAAAGTGGTTTAAATTTGTGTATGGCTGGCTGTTGCTTCCTCACAACTCAGTATACCTCCCTGACTGACTGTTTCTACTTAAAACTTTGGAAGCTATTTCAATACTAATGTTGTGACGTGTTTCTATGATATGTTTAGGTATAGATGAAGAGGGTGATCTCATCTGCCACCAGGATTTATCACGGTTTCACACTCCATTTGTTTTTGAAGCCATTTAGGTACATGTTCTCCCACGGTGACTCAACTGCACGTCTGGATTATTCCGGCTGAGGTATATGTGAGCAGATACATTTATGTAAACTGATAGAAACAATGGGATGTGACGTAATTATTGGTGGAGTGTTTAGGTTTTTGGTGAAGCATTTGTTCTGTTTTTTCCACAATGATAAGATTAGCTGGGTGGCATGTTTTGTTAATGGCTGATGTCAGCCTACATCTTAAAATGTTACTATTCAACTTTCCTGTATACGATGGTGTGGAAGGTTAGTTCTCCTTGATATGACTGAAAAAGATGTTGTACCAGTATTATTGGTTCGTAACTGCAGATCTCAATGGACATTTGTTGGAGGCTGGTCATAGATGGTCGTTTTGAAAGTTTGACATTTTACTTTTGTTTTAAATTAAACTACAAAACGTTTATCATCGGCACCGGTGTACTGTTAAGGTACGGAAAAGTGTTTTAATTTCATAGTCGATTCTTTCCAATACCTTTCCATAACGAAGAAAAAGTCAGCATTTCTTTGCTAGCCACCAGTGAAAAACAGCTAACTGCTGAAACGTCCTGCCCAGCTAGCAGTACTCTGGGGCCCCCACATTATAGCGTAGCGATTTATGCTGACTACTCTTTACCTTGTCACCATCTAATAAACCCTTCTACTACGATTGAACCTCAAGGGAACAAATGTTTCTATCAGCATAGCTGATTGAGTCATTGTGATATGCACGGTCAACCACCACGCCAATTTGCCAGCTATTGATCGGAACAATGATCATTTTATTGATATTAAAAGGGTTAGTTTTTCAAAACTGAATATCACTTTATATGATACTAATAATTCAATATTGAAAAATACACTTCGATTTGCCGTGATTTTTCGCATATATATATATATATATATATATATATATATATATATATATATATATATATATATATACCCGATCTCTCCATCAAACTGAGTATGTATACATCTATATATTTTCCTCTTCTGAATTAACTTTATTGTTTTGCGTCTAGCTAATATGAAGCCAATATACTTTACAGATGATCCTTTTGTTTCGTTTGAAAAACCTATTATCCAGTCGAAGCTTGTTGTCATCTTTGAGAAATTAGCTGATCAAATAACTGATCTCTTGCTACCAATTTCACATTTAATTCCAGGTATGTTCTGTAAACATGTATGACATATTTTGAATAATAATCTATAGTGATTTTTATTCTTCAGTTTAACCTGTTCTATTCATTCAATCATTTTGATGATGGTTTTATGTTTTGGTTATGCTAATATACGAGTAAAACTTGAGCACTGTGGTCGATTGTAATTCCATTTTAGTCTGTTTATTAGAAATATCACACAGTGAAACAGTAGCATTTTCTGGATAACCCTTCGGATACAATTTATTGTCCACAGTCATATCAGCAGGTAACTCAACAACTTCGAGACAGACTTTATATATTCTTAATTCTCTCTCCTTCTCTATGATGACAAGGGTAGTAGAATTTTCCATATATCTGGGACAGGTGCAGAATCATTTCTATTCCTGTATGTATTCGGTGTTGATTCGATAAACAAAAATTCAGTCGGTTATCAATCTCTCCATCACTCCACTCAACTAAGTTAGTTTTTAAGATTGTCGCCCTATCCCACCTTACTGTGTGATTGTGTGTCATCGCATGCAGAGCTATAGCCTAGCTTTTCTGTGAATTTCTTCTCTTATTAGGATCTACTAATCTTGATTTAGCTCTGTTATCCTAATTGATACTGTCCGGCTACTCTGACCTATGTATTTAACTTCGCAATCATTACAAGGCATTTAGTAAACCAGATTATTTTGCTTAGTTGCATCGATGGGATCCTTTAAACTGAAAAGCTTGTTTCTGAGCGAGTCTGTTGGTTTAAATGCTACTTTAATCCCAGCCCGTCTAATTGGGAATTCTTCGTAATGCTTCTAAGGTGCCTTCCTTGTGTGGTAATACAGCAGAGGCTTTGAATTCTCTCTCAATCCTGTCACCATTATTACCATTAGTAGTAGAATTATTATCAATAACACCTGTATTACTACTATTACTGCTACTGCTAATATTTTTATTTCGATTTCTTATAAATTTATTGATAAATTCTGGTGGGTAATTACTGAGGTGCAAGGTACTCTAGATGTATCTAATTTATTGTCGCAGATTTTCCGATCTACTAGTAAGCTTTTTGGCTCTATCACCTAAGCATTTAACTAGGCCTACTTTAACTGAAATGGGGTAGGAGGATTTGAAGTCTAAGTAGCGATTCGAAATGATACTGCACTTGTCCCAGATAATATAGAAAATCCTACTACCCTTGTCATCACAGAGAAGAAGAGAAAATTAGGAATATATAAAGTTTTTCTCGAAGCTGTTGACATAAAATTAGTGTAGAACATTGCACACAAGTATATCTGTTCAAGTTGCCACACTTCAGTGCAGTAGAGGAAGATGTATCGAGCGGGGGGGGGGGGGGGAGAGAAAGAAGAAGAAATTTCAAAATTAAGGTTTGTTGAAATATTCAGGTTTTCAAAGATGTCTAAGAGTGAATATATCTGCGCTATTGTGACCGATTTTCAGCTATTTTACGAAGAGCCCTCAACCACGGATTCGTATCGTCTCACAGACCCCTATTCGACTCAGACCAATAGTCAGCTACTTCATGCACTGGTGTCATATCTTCTGTTTGCCATCCTGAAACCTCTTCTAACCTAATTCAACTTCTGTAGAGGCAGGCATTAAGTAGTTCAGCATACGCTGAAGGTTCTCAACCTTATTAACTGACTTTCCTGCCTTGCTTATTACCCTTCACTTGACCTCGAAATCACTCATATGGTAATACAAGCGCTACTGCTATTTAACGCCTTAATACTGACTTCTCGAGATTATTGTTCTGTAAATCTTAAGGTTCATGTTTTTTGTTCTTGTTAGGACTGTCTGGTCCTTAAAAACTAACTTGTAATGTAGTATATATTTTCACTATAAAATTTGAACCTTATCTTAGCCCATTTTTCGTTCTGTGCAATGTTACTTACTGTTATCACGGTTTAAGGATACTAAATCCTGATTGGTTCATTTTACCCCTTCAATATGCTATTCTATTTTCTCTCGCCAAGACCATCTAAGGATATATAAACGACTGAATTTCTTTCTGCCTATAAGAAACATTCAGTTGAAGTAAATATACTTTCAGTCCCATTGTCTTCTTCTGCTGGTGTCAGCTGAGTATCGTGTTGAGAAGTCATTCTTCTAATGACACAGACAGACCACATTGCTATCAGTCATGGATGGAGACGATCGGTACAAGACTGCTACTCCTTCTCTACTACTTGTTTGGATAGCGATCACACCTTGGTCCGAGCCCGTATATAACTGCGTCTCGATCGACGTGGAAAACATTTGGCAACAAAATCATTACGAGTGCTGCTCGACAACGAAAACACCAAAACCGCTTTCAGTGACAAATTGACTAGGCAGTCATTGGAACATAACAATATCACTTATCCAGAAGGAGCTTGGTGCCATCTCCATTATGGTGTGAAAGCAGCACTGAAGACCGTAGCCGGCTCAGAAACAGTGGCTGAAAAGAGCCAGTGGATATCAGTAGCTCCTTCCGAACTAATGGATACATGCGAACGCATCCCTACAGGCTCTGAGTACAATGAAGAGTGAGCACAACTCAGAAAGTAGATTGAGGAAAAGTCGACGCAACGACTGTGAACAGTGGTGGGCAACGAAGGCTAAAGAGATAGGAAAGGCACTGGTGATTGGTAACAGTAGACAGTTATTCAGACTTATTAAGGAAACTGAGGGAAAAGGTCAACTGTGGTTAGTGAGACCATAGTGGAGAAGGACGGTTCTACGATTCACTCACTCTCAGGGGAGATGACTCGAGTGATGAGTAGAAGACTTCGAGGAACGGTTTAACTGGCTTCCAGCCACCATTGTGTTGTCCGCTATCCAGTCGGATACTGAATGGAATGTTGAGATAGACCCCTCAACACTTGCTGACCTCGATAAGGCTGTAGGTAACGTGAAACGAAGAAGGGTTGTAGAACCAGATGGACTACCTGCTGAGGTATACAAGGATGGTGGTAGAGTGCTCTTAGTCAGGTTAACGGAAGTGTTAGCTAGTATGTGGGAGTTGAATACGATCCCATCTGACTGGTCTAAATCACTGATTATATGAGTCTGCAAGAAAGACGAGAAATCCTCTTGTGATAACCACACAGGAATCAACCTGACGAACATAGTATCTAAGATTCTAGGCTGTATAATTCTTCGACGTCTGAGTGAAGTAGTGAGCAGCAAGCCTGAGAAAACTAGATAGGCAGGTAGGCAGGCAGGCTTCAGACGCGGTTGTGGGTGCATCGACCAAATATTCACACTTCGCCAGGTTCTGGAACACAGTCACGCTTACCCACTCCCTACAATAGTTGTGTTTCTGGACCTGAAGACGACGGCATTTGATTCTGTCGATCGAGAAATCTTATGACAATGTCTCTCACTGAGAGGCATGTCGAGTAAGTACATCATCCGATTGTGATGGCTCTCTACTCGAACACTTGTGGACGTGTTACAGCCTATGGTGAGATATCTGGGGAGCTATGCTCATCGAGTGGTGTCCGTCAAGAGTGTGCACTGTCTCCATTCTTATTCAATTTTATCATAGATGTTCTTATGCAGGTCTCCCTCTCGTCACCTGACTACACAGACGTTGACCTAATCACAGGAGAGTTTTCGTTAGACCTAGAATATGCAAATGACAAAGTTCTGTTAGGTGAAGATGCTGACAAGTTGCAGAGTCATGTGAACACTTTGAGTGGGAATTAGAGAATGTTTGGGATGCGTTTCTCACCACCCAATTGCAAATTGTTGCTCCACGATTGGTCTTCATCGGTTCCTCGGTTAACAACAGAGAGTGTAGTGGTTGAGTGTGTTGAACACTTCACTTACCTGGGAAGTAGGATCAGACCTGGTGTAGTGGCTTAGTGGCTTATGAAATCTCTGCACTAATACAAGAGGCTCGATTGGTTTTTGCCAACTTACGCCACCTGTGGCACCACCGTGACATCGGATTGTCTGTTAACGGCACAGCAGTGCGGTCTGTTCTACTGTATTGCTGTGAAACATGGCCATTGAAGATGGAAGACATGAGAAGGCTTCAGTTGTTTGACCACCATTGCCTTCGTAGTATAGGTCGTATTCCGTGGTGTCACCGCATCACGTGAGTAAGGTAAAGTCCGGTGTAGAGTTTTAGGGAGAAGAGGTATGTCATTTGATGTGGTTGTGAATTTTCATCGACTGAGATGGCTGGCTGGGACATGTGTTACGTATGCCTGGTCTTCGTCTGCCTCGTCACATAATGTTGGCCAAATTAGGTTCGTTCAGAGTGGAAAAAGGCTCGAGGTGGCCATACTAAAACATGGCATAAATGTTTTGCGCATATAGATTAGAAAGAGGTGTTATTGTGATAGAGTTGATAAGCAATCAAAGGATTATGTAATGTGGGTGAGACATGTTAATTAGAATAAATTGAAAATGTTTCCTTAAATGTTGCGATTAATAGGAAGATCAGATGAAATAACACCGGGAACAATGAAATATGAAAATAAAGTGATAATAACTATATAAAAGTACAAAAAATAATCTGACAAAATAGGGGGAACGGGGTGGGAAACGAAAAAAGGAACGAAGCACACCAATACTATTATAAATTAAGGCCAAGGTAGAGACAAAGACTTTACATACTTCTTTGCACACTTCAGTTCGTGGATAGCCAGGGTCTCTGCTATTTTTGGAAGTTGAACACCAAGGAAACGTGATGTGTTTAAGCGTATTCGATAGACAACCTCAAAATCATTGTCAGGGGTCGGTTGAATAGTTGGAATCGATTAAATGTTCAAGGATAGAATTTCTGATGCATTTCCTTTCACCCTTATAAAATCAGTCAAGAATATGTTCTCGTATACGTGTTGACAGAAATCTCTGACTACGGCCGATGTACCTAACTCCACGGGAGCAGGTGAACTGGTAGATACACATAGATGTGGCCTATCGCCAGATATCGTCTTTTATACAAACGGAGAACAATTTACGACTGGTGAAGATCAAGTGGAGTTTGGCTGAGAAAAATATTCTACTAATTGATCTGGAAAGATGATTTTTCAGGATATCTGAAGCTGCATCACCTTTGAAGTTCAGATTTTATGAAGTCTTTGTAAAAACTGAGCTGATGACCGGTTTCTCATGTCGTTCTATTATGTTACTTGATTCCTCTGATAAGTGGTAATATACTCCTGGTAAGAAATAACGGTCTTAAGCGCACTCCTTGCGAGATCTCCTGGGTACACCATTGAGAAGTCCTCAACTAAAATGAAACAGCTATCTCCAACCGATGTGATTCAGTGATGAAAACTACTTTCGCTATCTATTATGGTTGGAATTTAGTTGATTATATTTCATCATGGACTACTGACATCATTTTGAGGACCTTTAAAAATCTGGGAGCACTAGAAAGTTGCGTCTTCCTAGTATGCGACTCCTCAACAGTGTACACATACAATCTCGTATAGATTGAAACTGAAGACTGCCAGGTCTCGCGATGACCAATAAATAGTGAGATCATCTTACTGCCTCATCATCATTTGAACACTACCGTCGAAAAACTGTACTCAACAAAATAAGTGGAAAACTCTTGAGTGAAGGCCATTTGAACTTCTCTTCAAAGTTTTTCTTTTCAAGGATTACACAATAAAACGGTATTATTAATTGGATGATGTTTTGTGCAGAATTCACTATTCATAGTCATAAGAAGTTAATCATACAAATTTCTGATGTTTTTTTTTAAAACTTCTAATGTTTTTCATTCTTTGATTTAATTGATAGTGCAATCTTTCCCATACCCGGAATTGTTGTTACGTCATTTCTATTATATGTGTCTTATGTGAATCGATTTAAAAAAAAGCTCCAATTATTGCCGATTCGTGATAAATACTACCTACAAACCTCAAATTTGTCAAAAAGAAATTTTAAATTTGAGGGTTTGTGGGATTTAGAGATTTATCAGGTTGGTATTCATCATGGACTGACGTCGGTAAGAGGAACATTGGAAACCTGGAAGCATTGGACAGCTGTTTCGTCCTACTGTGGGACTCCTCAGCAGTGCGCACCTATGACCCCACTCCACCATGGATTGAACTCAGGACCTTCAGGTTCCGTGGCCATCACGGTACTATTGAGTCACTGGGTCGGAATCCAACAGTCCATACTTCCAACTTCTATCAGTTCACGACATAGCGCAACCATCGGGGAGAACCTGGTGTCCGTGAGCACAAATACTCAACAATGACATTTGGTGATGATCGCGCTATGTCATGAACTGACAGAAATTGGACATATTGACCATTGGATTACGACCCAGTGGCTCAATGGTTACCGCATTGGCCACGGAACCTGAAGACCCAGGGTTCGATCCATGGTGGAGTGGGGTTATAGGGGCGCACTGCTGAAGAGTCTCGTCGTAGAACGAAACAGCTATCCAATGTTCCCAGGTCTCCAATGTTCCCACGACTGATGTTAGTCTATGATGAATACCAACTTAAAGAAATTTAAAGTTCTTAAACAACAACATTTCTGGGTTATAGTATGAATAATAAAAATATTTCCATACAAACTAGACTTGCAGTTAGCTGTCGCGGTTGTTGGATGTCCACAGATTTAAATAAAACATTATTTATTAGTCTAAATTATCGTTTTCGTGGCATTTCTCCGTCATTGACTGTAGTTCATATTTGTTCCCATTTTCAAAGTAATTCTCTGATTGGCTAACATTAATGTTTCAAATTCTGGTCAAGGTCACATGTCATGTATGTATACACACGTGTTTTGGGTTAATCGATTATTGTTCTCGGAGGTAATAAACTCTGCGTTCCAGTCTAGTCTTCTTTTCTACTTTGTTCGGGTTAAGGTCGATGGATTTGGTTTTACACAGTTGGCTGTTAGTCAAATTTACGTGTTAAACCCTCTCGGGAACAATAACAACACCACATCCATGTATCTCTGACCACCGAATAACAATAACTAAAGACAACAGTGAAAACTAGACAGTACTACAGAGTTGTTTCGTACTAAGTTAAGATTATTCAGCGGTGTATACTGATTGCCCCAGATTAAGTCAAGCCAAAGGTATTCATATCTCACAGTTGAAAATTAATGTGACAATCTTGTGTTGAAAATGATGACTAACAACTTATCATGTTGATAAACACATCAGTTGATATGACTTCACTTTATCATCTGACTATTCTACTGTCCACTATCTAGTGAAATAGTAATTCCTTTGAAATAAACTGTAGGTTGTAAAGAATTTGGTTTCCGAAATGTATGTATATCACTGGTTCTTTTAATAAAAACTCCGTATACTTCGCTTTTTCTTTTGGAATAAGAGAGATTAAGAAGGCTGTGAATATTCAAGTATGTACAAGGCGAGTTCATTGAATTCGCTCTAACGTTCACTGGCTCAATAATGTTCCGCGATTGAGGAACTTTATGGTTATAAAATCTAAACGAGATCACAAGGTTTTGCATCTATGACACAAAAGTATCATGTACTGGTGAAAGATACTGTAATTGAATAACTTGAGTGATTAGAAACCAATTAAGCTGATCTGCACTACTTCCTATCTGGCTATCGGTCATTAGTGATCTTTAGTGGGGGTTATGGGTACATACTCCTGAAGAGTCCCATAGTAGAACGAAACAGCTTCTCAGGTTTCGAATGTTCGTCCAACTGATGTCAGTCTATGATAAATTCCAACCTAAAATCAATTAATAGATCATCTGGTTGAATTAATTTGTTTATTAGTAGTTTCTTTCGCTAGAAATGTTTCACCTAGCATAGTTTTAACCCTCCCTTTAGGAGCTTGTTAGTACTACTAGTTGATCACAGTACAACCAGGCTAAAATTTGTATCATTTAATTCTTCTTTTGAAGAAAAATGTTTATTGCCTATTTCACATTTCCACTTCAGTGTTATTTTCAAGTTGTGTATATGCATCAATTGTAAAATTTTCCTCTATAGGTATTTCAGTTGTTAAAACTCCTGATGATACCGGGAAACGCCGAGAAAATTTACGTGCACAAGTTATTTTGGCAATTCAAGGATTCTATTGTCATTTCAATGAAACCACTGAAGATACTGGACATGATTTTGAAAACAACAATTCAACAATCGAGGATTCTATGAATGGAAGTTATGCTCTACCTGATCTAACTGAGTCTAGCTCTGATGATGATGATATTACTGGGTCGAAGTAAGTCACCTTATTGTTAGTTTATGACAGTCTGTAGAATCTACATGCTTAGTTTATATCGTTTAGGCTTTGGCTCATTGTCTACTGCACGAATGTTCGCATGGTTGTTGAATAGATTTTAATTAGATTTACCAAATAATAGCTTATTATTACTGTGTCTGCGAGATATCCGGCTATCTATTTTAAAGGACGAGTATGCTGCGCTACAGTCTGTTCTGTTCTGTTGTACAGCTGTGAGATAAAGTAGAAGACATGAATCGACTACAGGGTTTCGATCATGGATGTCTTCGTAGCGTTGCTAGCGTGTGGTAGAATCGCTGTGTAAGCAATGTTTAGGTAAGACATAAGGGTACTAGGCAAAACAGACAAGTCGATTTATGAGGCTGTGAACGTTCATAGGTTGAGATGAATGGAACATGTACTGCATATGACGAGTCACCGCCCACCTCAACTTCCATGCTAGGAGAAGTTGGATTAAGATGGAGAAGGGTTCAGGGTGACCAGACCAAGACCTGACATCAGTTGATGAAGTCCCTGACTGTAGGCTTGATCCATCTGGGGTCATCCAAACGAAAAGAATCAGTGGTTCAAGACTCTTGTGAGATGTCTGAAAATAGGTCACAATGACGTAGATGTATTCACTCCTTGACATCTTCTAAAGCTTGAATATTCGTACTCACTCTTATCTTCCATTTGTTTATTCTCTCGCACAACTTTATCTACTTTGATATCACTCCTTTTCTATCAACTCGTTCTTTGTGTACTCCTTTGAAATGTGGCAAATTGAGACGATGATCCTACGCTACTTTTGTTAATCACTGTATCATTGTGTAATAAAGTGGAATAAAGTTTTCCAAAAGCCTTACTGTCAATGATCTTATTCTACTGATCCAGGTTAACAGTTCAAATGAATCCTGCTATGATTCAAGCCTCACTTGATCGATTCGATCATTTTAATTGGAATAAACAAAAACGATCTTCATCATCAGCGTCATCACTACGTGCAAAAGAACAGACAACAGATCAATTGACTAGTATTCGACAGCAAGGTCCAATATTTGTCAGATCAATTACTTCCAAAGGGAAAATGGGATTCACTGAACCAACTACTATTTATAATACAGATATCACTTCTCCCATCAATCAAATAACTGAATCCAAAGAGGTGGAAAACTCTAAGTAAGTTTCTATCTCCTTATAATTTCACTTTGGTGAGTCTCTCAACTTTGTAACTATACTACAAAATGATCGATAGGAAAAATTCAGTCAGTATTCAGATTAAACAACATGTAATTGGAGTAACTTTCTAGTGACTAATCAATGTATGTAATTCTGCCAGAGGTCAATCATAGGGTAGAATAGCTTAAAGATGGTAATGTCTCTGACTGTAATTAAGGGTAATGTGGGGGACGTCAGTTCCGTCAAGGCTGCAGATACGTCTTGCTGACAAGTACCAGCAAGCACGAAGATTAGGTTAAGCAGAGCTTCATGTCGATTGCCTCCAAACAGATAACATCTCTACTGAAAGCGTATTTTTTGGTTGTTTCTAGTTTTATGGTAATGATGGATAGTGCTAGCACTGGAATTCAGGATGCGCATTTCGTCCTACTTGGGACTCGTCAGCTGGTTATACCTGTCTCCAAGTGAGTGATATTCCCATCGGGATTCGGATTCGGGAGCGATCGCTTCCATCGCCAGAGAGTTATCCACTAGACCACCGAGCCATGATAGCCACTTCTTGTGAGACGGGTATAATTTTAATATTATTCCTTGTATAATACCGTCGTTGACTGAACCGAATTGATTGGTCTCTGTTAGTATATGTGCTCCTGCGCGGATGCCTTGATATTGCGTGTGTTCTTAGTTACGTAGTAATGATGGATAGTGGCTACAGTGAAATCCAGGATGTGCGTTTCGTCCTATTTGGGACTCGGTGGGAACAACATCACTCACTGAGAGGCAGGTACATCCAGCTGACGAGTCCCAAACAGGACGAAGTGCGCATCCTGGATTCCATCGCTAGCCACTTATCCATCATTACTACATAATTAAGAACACAAACAATATCGAAGTTGAATTTTTTCTACAGAATACTAATTCGTTGAATTATCAACGCAATCTAGTCATTTTTTAAAATTGGTCAAAGCTACGATAAGTTATTTATTTATTTCTCATAGTGATTCCTTTTATAAACCTTTGAAATGAGTATCTTTAAACAGTAGTATGAATGAAGTCTGAAGTTCACAGATGTCGCTGATTTATTGGATACAGTTTAATGGCGGTGATTGTCATGAGAACAATTTCAACTATTGATTTTTGAGTTCTCAATTGATATTCACTATATAACTGTTTGTATCCATACATTGCTTGGATAGATGTGTTCAAAATCAATTAGATGATTGATCTAAGCATATTTTACTCATGTCTACTAATTTATTTCCTTTTCGGTACAATGACCAATGAGTGAATGACATTGAAACCAGACTCAGAATTTTATATATTTCAGATGATGATGAGATTGTCATCTTTCATCATATGAAGTAGCTTACTCAAACGAATCTTTCTGTAGACAAGAGATAGTAAGTGGAGTAGGACTGAGTCATGCCCCGTGTCGTAGAATTCTTCAGAGAAATTATTAGTTTGATTTGGGTGTTTGTGGAGATTTACTAATTAATTTCCTCATGAATTGACATCAGTCGGAGAAACATTGGAAATGTGGGAGCATTGGACAGCTGTTCCGTTTTAGTATGAAGATACCCAGCCGACACCACCACCAACAACAAGCTCCAATCACCGTCAACGGGAGAAACTTGAAGGAAGTAACCTCTTTTACCAACCTTCCGAGGCAGCATCCTTTCAACTACAGGCGAAGGTGGCACAGACGAGGACGTCAAAGCTGGAATCGAAAAGACAGCAAGACAGCGTTCATTAACCTGAAACCAGTGTGGAGATCTTCTGCACTGCACTCAGCATAAAGCGTGAACAACATCCGGATATTCAACACCAATGTCAACTCAGTGCTTCTATGTGATGGTTTAGAGACTTGGCGCGTCACGAAAGGGATTTCCAACAAACTACAGATATCAGACATCAACTGCCTACGCTGGTTCGATACTGAAGATCAGATGGCTAGAATAATAAGAATAAGCAACAAGGAACTGTGGGAACGAACCAACCAAGAACCTGTCGTTCAACAAATATGCGGAAGTGGAGATGGATTGGTTTTGGCATACACTGAGAAGGCCGGTTGAGGGTATCACGCGCCAGGCCAGGTAGTCGAGTGGAACCCCTATGGGAAACGACGAGTTGGGTGTCCGAGGCGAGGGTGACATGTCAGAGATGGTGTGAGGAGGAAATGAGAGCTTGTGGGCATTGGTGGAGCCAGGTTGAAAAGATTGCGTAGAACAGAGTGAAACGGTGACGTGCTACTGAAGCCGTATGTTCCACTAGGAACCCAAGGAACAAATAAATAACAAATAATGGGACTGTTCAGTAGTGCGTACCCGTGACCCCACCCTCCCGGGGGTCGAACCCAAGACCTTCAGGTTCTGTGGCGAGCACGATATCAGTGAGCCACTGGGTCAGGACCTAATGCTCTATATTTCCTACTTCTGTCAGTTCACGATATGGTGCTACCATCACTGAATGTTATCCTTGATTATTTGTCCGTAGATCCACCAGGTTTGCCCCACTGGTCACGACTTTTCATTTGGACTTCAGGAATCACCTCTTGAAGCTAGTCACCAATGAGCACTGACAATAGTTGGGAATATGGACCATTGGATCGCGACTCAATGGCTTAATGGTAACGTGCTGGCCATGGGAACTGAAGGTCCTGAGTTCGATGTCTGGTGGGGTCGTAGGTGCGCATTGCTGATGAGTCACATAGTAGGATGAAACAGCAACGAATACAGGGAACAAGTAGCATAACAAATCAAACTATTGAGTCGATTAGTGAACACAAAAACCAACAAAGATGCTGTACAAAGTGTATAAATTAATGGTAGAGGAATGGGAAAGAATGTGCCAACAACCATGATTAAGATATGGTGGATTAAACTAAATTGAGAATAATGGGAATATGAATAATGTTTTAGAATAGTATGTAAGGTAAACGAATAGGGTAGTAAGTAGAACTGTAAGAAAAGAACAACTCATCAAGGCAATGCACGATGAACTACAAACTCCTTTTGTACACTCATAAGTTTGGTTTCAGTCAATGGATTACTGCTGCTTCTGCATTACATAGCAATCTACTCTTTCTTTGTCTGTTGATCGCCTTGAAAGCTATGTTTCAGTCGATGGCATAATCTGTATCGAGGATGTAGTTATCTCAATGGTAGGGTTACTTGTTAGTCTTCCATCTGTCAATGACAGGCTTTTCGTTATATATTCAGAGATTTGTTTAATATCGATCCTCTCTGTTCTTCTAACATACATGTTACTGCAAGTATAAAGTAATAAATACATACAATTGATGGTAACATTAAGACATCGTAAATCTAAATTAGTCGGTGATTATTTTGTGAATTCACTTCATCGGTTTTGAATAGTAGTAGTCTAATGAACATGTTCTATTTTGGCACGATTGTATCATTCAGTTTCTCATTTTTAAGTGTAAAGTGTTTATTGATGAACTTTATTAGGATATATACACTACCTGATAAGGTTTTTTGTATCCTTCTTATCTAGTTCATTTTTTTGATGACTTCCTTAGAGTATAGTCAGGTTGTCCTTGAGAATAAAATCTTTACTAGACTTTTTTATATGCGATTGGATAGAAACTATTCAATGACAAATGATTGACCGATTCAAGTAGAGTTATGATCAATTCAGTTAGTATCATCATCATCATTATCAACATAGGATCAAGCATTACTGCGTAACGGTCCGAGTTGCCACACCTCATATCAGCACATCAAGTAAAAAGGTAGTGAGGTGAAGGATGAAGATAAGTGAATGCAGTCAAAAGAAATATAAAGTATGAGAAGAAGGAAAGAGGAGTGACAAAATGGTGAGATTCGGTATAGCGTTGTTAAGATGAGGATAATGTGTGTATACATCTGCGACACTGACTTCGGTTCTGAGCCATATCACCTAGGGTCTCCAACCACTGGTTCCTCTTGTCCCGTGGACCCCAACCACCTAGTCTGCATCGTCCTACATGGCTTAAACCAACAGTCAGAGACTTCATACATTGGTGCCATGTTTTAGTCTGGCCACCTCGGGCCTTTTTCCAACCTGGACCCACCTCAGCCAACATTGTGTGACGAGGCAATCGGTGACTAGGCATACGTAGTACGTGTCCCAACCATCTCAGTCGATGAAGGTTCACAACCTCGTCGACTGACTTACCTCTTCTCCCTAAAACTCTACACCTAACTTCTGCATTACTCACATGGTGACACCACGGAATACGTCCTATATTACGAAGGCAACGGTGGTCAAACACCTGAAGCCTTTTTGTATCCTCCACTTTCAATGGCCATGTTTCACAGCCGTATAGTAGAACAGAGCGGACTGCTGTGCAGTACACGCGACCCTTAATAGACAAACGAATATCACGGCGGCGCCATAGGTGGCGCAAATTGGCAAAAGCCAATCGAGCCTTTTGTATCCGTGCAGAAATCTCATCGGCAACTAACCCACCAGGGTTGATCCTACTTCCAAGGTAGGTGAAGTGGTCAACACACTCAACCATTTCACTCTCTATTGTTAACCGCGGTACCGCTGAAGACCAGTCCTGGAGCAAAAATTTGCATTTGGGTGGTGAAAATCGCATCCCAAACATTCTCAAATTCCCACTCAAAGTGTTCAGAAGACTCTGCATCTTGTCAGCGTCTTCACCTAACAGGACTATGTCATCTGCATATTCTAGATCTAAAGTAAAGTATCTTTGTAACAGGGCCAAAATTCTTACTAGTAAAAAGATCTAAAACAAGAAACCAGACATATTAAAGCCACCTTAATCATCAACAGTTACCCTCTTAAACAAATTGATAAGTTCGTAAGGAATCGTAAGAAAAATATCAGCAACACAGATATTAATGGTGGTAATAATAACGTTAATAATATTAGTGGCAATACTGTGAAGAGAGAATTCAAAAACTCTACAGTATTACCATAGAAGGATGACACCTCATAAACACTACGTAGGATTCTCAATAAGGTTGGCATTTCAATCTACATACTCACTTAGAAATAAGTTCTGTAGGTTCAATCGGTCCTATTGATCCAGTTAAGCGGAATAATTTAGTTTGCCAAATCCCTATCAACCATTGCGACATCAAATACATAGGTCAACGTAGTCGACCATGGTCACTTAGCCTATCCGAGTACAAAATTCTAGCTAAGTCAAAATTGGTAGATCCTAGTAAGGTAAGGAATTTAACGAAAAGCTCAATCATAGCTATGCATACGATTACACACAAGCACATAGTAGGGTTGAACAGGATGAAAATTCTTAAGACTAATATGGTGGGGTGGAGGGAGAGATTGATGACTGAATCTTTGTTTATCGAATCAACCAACACCTAATACATGCAGGAGCAAAGAATGACTGATCACTTGTTCCGGATATATCAAAAATGTTACTCGGTATGTCATAAAGTTGGGGAGAAAATTAGGACTATATAAAGGATATCTCAAAGTTGTGTAGTTATCTTGATATGACTATGGAGGCAATAAATTACGTCCGAAAGGTAATCCAGTAAACAATGTTGTTCGTTTACAGTGTGATAAATCTAATAACACTGGTCAATAATAATGATAACTGTTTAACTAAAGATACGATGAAGGTTGGCAGACAACCAGTGGTTTGTCAAGATCGTTTGTAAGGTGGCTCTTGTCCCTACTGTGTATGTGGTTTACTAAGGATGTCAAGAGATGGTTTCGCAACAAAATACAACAGGAGACATTCTGAAACGTCGATTTGTGAAAGTTGTTACTGCAATTTTAAGAATTATAGTTATCTGAAGAAGCAAAAACTACCGTTGTTGACTATTTTAGGGTGCATATATCACTTTACACTTGTTGCTGTTTAGGTAAGTATGTAGGCAGTACGCAGAGGTGGATTCAGTGAACCAGTGGTGGTGGATCCAGTGTAGTATAGGACCATCTTCAGATATATCTAGCTGACGAGTCTCAAACAAGACGAAACACATGTCCTAGATTCATCAGCCAGTCACATCTAAATGAAGTGAATTTAAATATCTGAGGAGTGCAAGTTCTTTGCATTATTATTATTATTATTAGTCCCTTGGGTTCCTAGTGGAACATAGGGCTTCAGTAGCACGCCTCCAGTGACCTTTGTTCTCTGAGATCTTTTGAACCTGGTCCCACGACAGCCCAGAAGCTCTCATTTCCTCCTCGCACGACCTCCTCCATGTCACCCTTGGACGTCCAACTCGTCGCTTCCCATGGGGATTTCACTCGAGGGCCTGGCGCGTGATGTCCTCAGTCGGCCTTCTCAGTGCATGGCCAATCCATCTCCATTTCTTCCTGCATATTTGTTGCGTGATAGGTTCTTGGTTGGTTCGTTCCCAGAGTTCCTTGTTGCTTATTCTTTCATCTATATATCTCAAATAAAATTTTGTTAATTCAATGGCGTATAATATCATTGACTTCTTCAAGTGTGACATATTCATGAATAATGATTCGACATTAAAAGTAACCATGTGATTATCATCAATCCTGATAACAAATTCAAATAGTTGAAAAGTGTTTTCATCGACCCTTCCTTATGATTAATGAGACAAAAGTTGTTGAAGTTAAGATACATTCCATTCAATGAATCTTTATGATGAATGCGTCTTAGTATATATTACTATCGATAGTTTTGTTGAATACAGAGATTAAGGAAGTTGAACTTCTCATTGTATTCATTCTATTCATATTCCATTGGTAATAAAAGTTATTATATAATGACAACTGACAGCACAATTTTATGAAAGAACATGAAGAAGAAGTAAGTATTTCAGTGAAGAGTCTCTTTTCGACGATCTAATCATTTTTCTACTGTAAGGATTTGATAAATAAATTAAAAAAAACGGTTTGTCAATGTATGGCAACATAAATGAGCTGCTATTGAAATCAAAAACTGATGAGTAGTAAATATTGATCAAAATAAGTTTGGACAAGAAGTTACATTGTATGATGACATAATTGGAAACTGAATTGTGATCAGGCAGAGCATGAAAGGAGAAAGTGAGTGGCAAGAGATATGATCATATTTCGTTTACGACTCACATGGACCCAGTTATTAGAGTTCGTCAGTTGACCATTCTAGCTTGGTTTTCTGTGAATTGATCTACTTAACATTCTTCAGCTGTCCTTGTCAATTCTACATGAAGAAAGTGAATTATCAATCGATTTTCGACCTCAAGGGTGAATCTAATGGTTGAATGGCAGTTATTGAGTACTTGTAGAACGTGATCCAAATCATATTGATGATCACAGATAATTAAAGTATCACTCACATACCTTTTGTACGGTTGAAAACCTTCAATCCTTGACTTCATGGGTCCGTTCTCCAAACTGGCCATAAAGTACAGTCTATTGGAGGATATCAAACTCTCTAAGGAGAATACATAGAAGTGGTCAGATGTGAAAGCTTCCCCTTTAAATTGTTAGGAATCGTTGGATGCGTTGATACAAGCATGGCAGGCAACACAAATAGTGACAGTAAATTGAGCCATCATGAAAATCAAGAAACCAACAACTGATGAATAGTGGATAGGTTTACCCCTATATCAATTCATTTGCTTTTGTGGAGTAAGGTTATATAGGTCGTTCAATGCGACTGTTATCCGAAACGGTTCAAGAACACTATCACGCATGTTTACAGAAAGGTAACAATGAAGCGATAAGAATTACTGTGTAGTTGAACACATCATGAACACGAATCACGCTATCTCAAGAACCTCCTCGTTCAACGTTATCTATAAAGTGAAAAGAAACCTCCCAAATGCAGTATGTCTTCGTATTCTCTGCATCGCTGAAGCTCTTGCCATGCATATCGAGAAATCTGAACTGTGTACACATCAGAAGATTGTTCAACACTTTCTCCTTTCATGGTTATAGTTTCCAGTCTTTCAAATCTTCTCTAATCTCTCTCACCTTTTCATTTTTCTGTTTTGATACTATTCACTTGTTAAGTAATTTACTACTCATGCTCTGCCTGATCACAATTCAGTTTCCAATTATGTCATCATACAATGTAACTTCTTGTCCAAAACTTATTTTGACCAATACTACTACCACTACTCATCAGTTTTTGATTTCAATGGCAGCTCATTTATGTTGCCATACATTGACAACCGTCTTTTTTTTATTTATTTATCAAATCCTTACAGTAGAAAAATGTATAAATTTCCGATTGTGTACAGTTTTGAAAATGTAATCACCGAAAAGAGAGTCTTCACTGAAATATGACTTGTTCTTATTTCACATTCGAATGGGTATATTTCACATAATTGTAGACTATTCTGTAACCTATACTTACTGATATTTTTCAACTCTGACTTCTCCACTTACAGCTACATCGTTCCTTGTAATTTTCTTATTTTCTCTTATCCTGTAATAGAGATAAAAACGTTGAAGTTCAATCAAATGATGTTTCAATGGAATCAGTTACCGTAGTACAGATTGAAGACAAGAATGAGGAAAATAAAACTGAACAACAGGAGAAGATAGAAAATTGTGATAAATCAACAAAATCCCATTCTACTAGTAAATTAGGTGTATTATCAAAAAAGCATACAACTCGATCTCTACGTACACGTCATAGTCGTACACCGTCTGATGCAAGTTTTTCAGAAGGTGAAGTATTATCAGATACTGAAGAAGATTTAGAATTATCTGATAATGGTCGTGAACAAAAAGACGGTGTTGGTGTTCATGAAAAAACTAAACCTGTTGAAAATGATGGAAAAAATGATGATTTAGTTAAATTAGTACATGATCCACTACATACTACAACACCTATCAGTGATGTTGACTTAACTGAACTAGAAATTATGGATGAATGGGCACCGCCGGTTTTAGCATCGAATCGAATGGATACATCTATTTCACTGAGTGATATCAGTCTTCCAGCTGAAGAAATGGTTAGTTATTTTATTCTTTGAATAGTCTAAATTTAAGTCGTGTTTTTTTTCCTGAAGTATATCAGTATCACGGCATGAATACTTGTACAATAACCTTCAGATGGTCGCTGAGTTCCCTGGTAAATACAATAAGTGGTAAGATTATCGATACCCAAACTCTAGTTTGATGCTTTGAAAGAATTTAGGCATTGAGTAAATGATATTCATAATTTCCATCCATCCGAATCAACATAGGACCAGGCATACTGAATAACGGTCCGAGTTACCACAGCTCAATCAGTTCATCAAGTAGGAAGCCAGTGAAGTGGAACATGAAGAAAAGAAAATTCAGTCAATAGAAATATCAAGTACTAAAAAAGAGAAAGGAAGGGTGAGAAAATGATGAGATTCGGTATCGTGTTAACATGAGTATAATGTATGTATGTATGCATGTATGTATGTATGTATGTATCTGCACCACTGACATCGGTTCTGAGCCATGTTATCACCTAGAGTCAGTCTCCAACCACTGGTCTCTCTTGTCCCACGGACCCCAACCGCCTAGTCTGCATCGCCCTATACCGCTCAAACCAACAGTCAAAAACTGCATACATTGATGCCATGTTTTAGTATGGCCACCTCCAGCCTTTTTCCACTCTGAACGAACCTAATTTGGCCAACATTGTGTGACGAGGCAGACGAAGACCAGGCATACGTAACACATGTCCCAGCCAGCCATCTCAGTCGATGAAAATTCACAACCACATCAAATGACATACCTCTTCTCCCTAAAACTCTACACCTGACTTCTACCTTACTCACGTGATGCGGCGACGCCACGGAATACGACCTATACTACGAAGGCAATGATGGTCAAACAACTGAAGCCTTCTCATGTCTTCCATCTTCAATGGCCATGTTTCACAGCAATACAGTAGAACGGAGGGGACTGGTTTGCAGTACACTAACTCGTTAATAGACAATCGGATATTACAGCGGCCTGCCGAGCCTCTTGTATTAGTGCAGAGACTTCATAAGCCACTAAGCCACTACACCAGGTCTGATCCTACTTCCCAGGTAAGTGAAGTGTTCAACACACCCAATCACTACACTCTCTGTTGTTAACCGAGGAACCGATGAAGACCAATCGTGGAGCAACAATTTGCAATTGGGTGGTGAGAAACGCATCCCAAACATTATCAAATTCCCACTCAAAGTGTTCACATGACTCTGCAGATACATACATACATACATACATACATACATACATACATACATACATACATACATACATACATACATACATACATACATACATACATACATACATACATACATACATACATACATACATACATACATACATACATACATACATACATACATACATACATACATACATACATACATACATACATACATACATACATACATACATACATACATACATACATACATACATACATACATACATACATACATACATACATACATACATACATACATACATACATACATACATACATACATACATACATACATACATACATACATACATACATACATACATACATACATACATACATACATACATACATACATACATACATACATACATACATACATACATACATACATACATACATACATACATACATACATACATACATACATACATACATACATACATACATACATACATACATACATACATACATACATACATACATACATACATACATACATACATACATACATACATACATACATACATACATACATACATACATACATACATACATACATACATACATACATACATACATACATACATACATACATACATACATACATACATACATACATACATACATACATACATACATACATACATACATACATACATACATACATACATACATACATACATACATACATACATACATACATACATACATACATACATACATACATACATACATACATACATACATACATACATACATACATACATACATACATACATACATACATACATACATACATACATACATACATACATACATACATACATACATACATACATACATACATACATACATACATACATACATACATACATACATACATACATACATACATACATACATACATACATACATACATACATACATACATACATACATACATACATACATACATACATACATACATACATACATACATACATACATACATACATACATACATACATACATACATACATACATACATACATACATACATACATACATACATACATACATACATACATACATACATACATACATACATACATACATACATACATACATACATACATACATACATACATACATACATACATACATACATACATACATACATACATACATACATACATACATACATACATACATACATACATACATACATACATACATACATACATACATACATACATACATTATACTCATGTTAACACGATGCCGAATCTCATCATTTTCTCACCCTTCCTTTCTCTCTTTTAGTACTTGATATTTCTATTGACTGAATTTTACTTCCTTTAAGTTTCTTCCGTTGATGGTGACTAGAGTTTGTTGTTGTTGGTGGTGCGGTATCTTCATCACTTCTATCTTCTCTATATTCACCTGAAGTCCCGCCTTCCTTGGCTGCCCTGCCTCTTCTGTCATCAACTTGTTAGTCTTCGCCTGTAGATCTTCCAGTTTGTGTGACATCAGGCACAAGTCATCACTGGCGAAATCCAGATCTTCTAGATTCCTTTCCACAGTCCAACCAGCGTATCCACCTCTTCTCACAGCTCCCACTGTTTGCTGCATGATCCAGTCCAGTCGGCCACAATCAGGAATATCATGGGTGATAGTAGGCAACCTTGTTTCACTCCTGTCTTCACTTCACTTCAGTGGCATCACTGAGCTTTCCATTGTGAATTACTTGGCTGGCATGTGGCATCTTCATATAGTTGTTGAATGAGGCTGATAAAGGTTTGTGGTATTCCGTAGTATTGAAGCAGTTTCCAAATTACCTGTCGATTGACGCTGTCAAAGGCAACTCCATATGCTGGTTAACAGGTAGGTTTCATTGCTAGATTAGTAGATCAGTGATAGGGCTAATCATGGTCAGGCCGCAGCAACAAATAATCATAACTTTCGGTAATTTTGGTAATTACTTAGGATAAACAACCTGAAGTTTGTTTGATTTAGAAAGGAATATCGGCGAATTTTAAGCTTAAAATTCAGTAATAAAAACTATATATATATATATATATATATATATATATATATATATATTTTTAACTCTATAAAAACTCATTTTTATACTGTTCTACTTATAATTTATAGAAAGATTCTACATTTTCACATGAAATCAATGTAAAAGATAATAAGAAAGATGAAATAACAGAATTGTTGAATAATTCAATTGAATTTTGTTCAAATAGTCTTCAAGAATTGATAATAAAAGCTGAAGTCAATAGTGATATTCAATGTGGAGATAGTTTGAATAATATTGCAAGTCAATCGTTCAAGATTTGTTTAACTCCAGAGTTAGAAGCTAGTATTGAGAGGACAACAACTGCTTTCAAGGTAGGTTTTTAATGAAATAATTGAATACTGTAAGCTTAACTAATCATTATGAGATGCTCAATTAGGATTTGTTAAAGATACAGTTAACTTCAAGTAAATAGGTACAACTCACATCAACTATGCATGATTACATACATTAAGTTATTCACAGGTTGATAATACTGTGTAACTGGTTAAACATCTGTAATTGTGTAGGCTGTAGACAATTATAGCTTACACATGGTGAGCTATGACTGAGTAAGGCTGTATTCAATACTTCAGACCCTTAGTCTTGGTCGTATGAGGAGGGGTAAACTGTTTGTTTAGGGTCTTCAAGATGATAGAAATCATTGGTTGGATATCTTTGGTATGATATGATTGAAAACCGGTCACAATGGCACAGTTGTATTCACTCTTCAAAAGTCTAAATGTTTTGACTAACCTTCTCTTCTCACATACACTTTTGTCTATCTTGATATCAAGCTTTTTCTATTCACGTGTTCTTTGTATACTACGATGAAATGTGATAACTTCAACCGATACACTTCTATGATCATATTGCTTTTAAGCTTGCATCCATGGGATAACTTGCAAACTTAGTACATATACTTATCAGCTAGGCGATGAACCACCTTATTGTTTTTGAGCTGAAGGACAGACGAACAGAAAATCAACGTAGAACATCGAACATAAGTACATCATCTCAAGTTGCCACACTCCACAGTAGTATACAAAGAACAAGAGTAGATAAAGTTGTGTGAGACAATAAACAATTTGAAGATAAAGGTTACTGTGAATATTCAAGCTTTAGAAGATGTCAAGGAGTAAATACATATGAGCCATGTCATCAAGTGTTTCCAACCACTGATTCCTTTAGTCTTGGGCACCCTAACCAGACATTCTACATCTTCATACATGACTCAGATCAGTAAGAGAGTTCATCGACTGGTGCCAGATCTTCATCTTGCCACTCTGAAACCTCTTCCAACCTACTCCAATTTCTCCTGGCACGTCACGTCGATATAGGAAGTGGTTTGGCCTTCCCAATACATATTCAAGCCATCTCAACTGATGAAGGTTCACAAACTCGTTAATCAACTTACCTGTCTTGCCTAGTACTCTTCACCTAACCTCACAATTGCTTACACGGTGATTCCACCAAACGTGACCAATACTATGAATACATCTATGATCGAAACCTTGTAATCTTGTAACCTAATTTTAACGGTCATGTTTCACAGCCATATTCAGGATAGAACGGACTGTAACGCATCATACTTGTCCTTTGATAGATAGTTATATATCTCACCAGTCGGCTCCACAGATGATGTAACTTGGCAAATGCCGCTCAGGCCTTCTGTATCCGAGCTAAGATTTTTTCAGCACTTACGCCGCTCGGGCTGATACAACTTTCTCCAAGTAAGTAAAGTGGTTAACACACTCCACCACTTCACTCCTTATAATTGAACTGGGAGTGTTCGCAAGCCAGTCCTGGAGCATCATGCATTTGACAGGTGGGAAATGCTTCTGCTCATCGCGTTCAGAAAACCCTGCATTTTATCAGTCTTCACCCAGCACAACAATATCGTCTGAATACTTCAAGTCAACCAGATGACCTCCATGAAGTAGGTCAATCCCAATGAAGTCAGATGTAACTAAAGTCTTGTCTGTTCTTATGCCTATGACGAAGGAACGGTGACAGTGGGCATCGCCGGTAAACGCCACTAGTTGTCGTCAGTTAACATGATAACTCTTCATTAACCCTGACATGGCTGCGTGAGTTCAAGTAGAGAGCTTTGATTAGCGTTATATACTTGCTTTGTATTCTCCTCATAGTCAGACTGCCACAATACCCCACAGTCGACCAAGTCAAATTCCGCCTTCAGGTCGGAAAATATAGCAAGCGTTATCTGCTGATAGGTATACCTGTGTTCCAGAACCTGTTGGATGATGAAAATATGACCGATGTACCTTCGTCAAGGTCTGAAACTTGCCTGGTTTTCTCGAGTTTGCTGTTCTTGAGCTCTACTTGGAAGTTGGATAACTACAGACCCCAGGATCTTGGATACAATATCAGTCAAAATAATTCCCCTATGGTTGTCACAGGAAGACTTCCCTCCCTTCTTGTAAACTGAGATGACCAGTGAAGCGCAGACAAACATGAACCTGCACTAGCGCGTGATCAGAGTTCAAACTGGTACTCCAGAAAAGTACCATCCTCCAACGATGGCTTATAGCAATCTGATATATCTGTGTCCATCATTGGTTTAATGTTGGCTGACACCATATGAGACAGTGTCTGTCCTCATGCCTAAGGTTAGTGCTGACCCAGAAACAAGTCGGAACAAAACTGAAACAGAAGACCACCGTTTTCAGTTAGCTGGCATAGGATCACATAGATATGTGCCAGATGCCTCTCCGATTGGCTTAGTTTCCCTCTCCACCTACTGAGGTTTGAGCAGCCAGGTAGTATCGCTAGCCCCCACACAATAGGTGTGGCTCATTGCCTACTGCATGGATTTACACAAGGTAGCTGAGTGTGTTTCTTTTTTTCATTCATTTGAGCGTTAAAGTCACTTGCCATTATGACTACATCTGAACGTTTTGCTTTCTGTAACAGGGTTGACACCTGATAGGATTCATGCTTTGCATCCGAACTACAGTCGGTGGAGTTTACCAATGGGCATCGTCTGGTCTCACGAACTCTCCTAGTCTTTACAGATCCACTCATTCGAACAGCACATAGACCCCAGTTTACTGGAATCCTGTCGAGGAGCGCACTTTCTGCTCCACGACTCAAACGTATGCCTACACCAGCTAGTCCACAAGAGCCTGGTCACTGAGTCTCCGGATACTCTTAAAGTGAATTTTGAGGATTCACCGCTCTGGTCAGGTGAGGTTAATTTAAGAACCACATCCGGGTTCTGTATACGTGTATCAGAGACACAGCACACATCCATGGCTAGGGATTTCGGAGTTCTGACAAGCGATGCTTGTCGGATTTGGCATAGAGTTCGGACGTTGAGAGCTCCTGCATGAAATCGATGGTTGGCGGGTAGAGTCTTCGGAGACCAGGAATGAGGTTTTGATGGCTTTGGTCGTTAGTAATGCTTGCAGAGTGAGAATTTGGGGTAGATGTAAGAGGATTGTTGTTAGCGTCAGGAGGTGAAAACAATGGAGGAGATAAAGTTGAGGAGGAAAAGTTATATTTGACTATGTCTTGTGTACTACTGGAAGCGTGCATGCGGTTGACACTTCCCAGCTGCCCACACCGTGAAGGGCTACTTCTTCTTAAGGTACTTGAAAAATAAAAAGGTTTGTGTGACCACAGAGCCCATGGGACATGTGCTTAAGATCTGTCACACATAGCCTTCTATGGATCATTGTTTTGAGGTTCGGTTGTTCTACCACCGGCACCGGAATACCATGGGGCATGGCAGAGTGTGTTATTTTCAGGGTTAACCTTTTCTACCCTCGCCCCCTTCCGTTAAGAAGGTAGCATCAGTGTGGCACTGCCGGTCATCTAAGGGAAACACCTTACTACTGTCACATGATATCCAGCTAGCAGCAGTTCGACTTGCCCCCCCCCAGACCGACATGATAGTGTAGTAATTTCCACTACAAGGGTAACCACTTTTTGTCTCACCACTATTCAACAGACGTTTCTAAGATAGTAGGGCCTTAAGGGAACAAGCCTTCCACCAGTATAGCTTATTGGGTCATTGTGATATGCAAGTCCAACCACCATATCAAGGTAGCAGTTATCTGTCGAGGTAAGTGGATCAGGATTTGAACTGATCAATTGCATTTACAAGTAGTCGAGTGAAATTGTTCACATCCCCCCTAATGAATGTTCACACAAAACAAATAACTTTCTCACCTCTTTTGGATGATGTTATGGTAGAGATAACAGTTAAGTGATTTTTTTCCAATATCAATATTGTATTTCTGTGTAAAGAAAACAATGCATTGCATATACTGTCTACTGCATCTACCCTAGGAACACGTGACATCAGTTCTAGCCAATCTCTTACACGCTGTACCAGGTCAATTATCAGCACAAGCAGAAAATGATGCTAAATACCGTAGCCAACGTGGTGGTACACGTAGACAACAGGTTGTTTCACGTCGTGGTTCTAGACTTCGTGGTATGCTACTGGCCTATCAACAAGAGGCTGTGAAACGTCTCAGTTCTAGCACTTTCGAATGACCAATGACTTTGAGGGGGCAAAGAATTAAAATCTTTTATTATGTGAAACAAGACTGAAGTCTTTTCTTCATCATTTTCAAGTCTATCTTATAGATTATAATTTTTCTTGTCTGTGAATTTCCTCTGTTGTTTTATGGTACAGTTCTAATCCTGTTGTCGATAACACTATGTGTTGCAAATGTATATCATGGTCTTTAAATACAAGTTATTTCGTAACTTGCGTATGCTTTCTTTGATCGTTACCTGGGGAAATGCATATCAGTAGGTGAGATTAATTTTCCACCTTGGAGGGTTTTTGTGGCAGCTGTGCTTCATTGGTTTAGGGAGATGATTTCCAACTAGTATCACTAAAAGCCTTCACACACAATAGGCGTGGTTCATTGCCTACTGCACGAATATGCACCAGATGCCTGAATACGTTTCGTTTGAGGGTTGTAGCGTAGTGGAAGCAATACTGTCCGCTTTAGTATGTTCTTATCCCTGTAGAATTCTGTATGTAATTATACTACTTAAGTCTTTCTTATAGTAGTGATGTTTACTAATATCAAGTTAGTACTTCTGTGTGATGGTTGAGAGACTTGGTGCGTTACGAAAAGCATTTCCAACAAACTATAGACATACATGACGTCAACAGCTGCCACTTACACTCAATACTGAAGATCGGATAGCCAGAATAATAAGAATGAGCAAGAAGGAACACTCACTGGCTGGCAACGCTACAACCAAGAACCCATCCCCTAACAAATATGCAGTGGAAGAGAGTGGAGATAGATTGGGTTGGACAGACACTGAGAAGAATATTTTGGATCATAATGCGCCAGTCCTTCGAGTGGAACCGAAAGGGGAAACGACGAGTTAGGCGACGGAGGGTGACATAGGGGAGATTGTGTGAGGAAGAAATGAAAGCTTAAAGGGCAGTGGTGGAGCGTGTTGAAAAGACTCCAGAGAAGAGAGTGAAATGGAGATGTCCTACTGAAGCCGTATGTTCTACTAGAAACCCAAAGGACAAATAATAATCATAGTAATAAAATTACTACTAGTCATCGAAAATAGAGTTTTAAGAACATAGTGCTTTGAAAAACTTAGATTCTGACAAGTGCCTTTGAAAGACTGGGTATGTAATATGAAAACTATAAAGAAGCTAGCAAGCAGTGACGGACGATATCAGAGTCGGAAAAACTATAGATTTCAACAAGAAGGAAGCTTCGAATTACAGCTTGCCAGTTTCCACTGATACATTTGTATGAGACTGACACTTCGGCAACTGTATGATCACTCATTACAAAGTGAATGCATGATACTCACTAGTATGTGCATCTGTTCAACACCAATGTAAATCAATGATGTTGATTAGCTGAATCCCTCTGATCCAAATAGTTGCTGGAACTCACCGACGATAAATCCGGATCCATAATAATTCAATTCCTAAAACCAGACTTCTAGCCGAATGAGTTGACTAGAGGTATATGGCAGAGATTCAGCTGGTTATGAAATAAGTGTCCAAAATGAGGAGAAAAATCCTAAATCTGACTAAGATGCACTACTCTTATGTTAGTTTGTGTATTATGCATCTGTACTGTTCCTGTGTTGTTGGTTGAACCTCTTTATATGATAAATCCCTTCAAGTGTGTCACTGATTGTTTATAAGAAATCGAAGAAGGAAATCTACTCATACAACATTGGTTGAAATTCTGGAGTCTTCTCAACTGCTGATAAATGCATAGACGCTGTACCTTGTCATCTTTTATAATCGTGGTATCCTTATTCACCATCTTCTGGTTTATCGAATCTAACCAAATTCCATATTCCTTCTGCCGAAGCTTAGCATTACCCTCTTCTGAAAATCTGTTCCTTCCTTCTTTGAATAGCCTCTTCTATCATGTCAGTGTAGAATTTGAGCAGCGTGGCAGTGTATGTAGTTCTATATTGACTTCTTCGTTGGATATTTCACACAGTGAAACGGTTGCATCCAGTGGATAGAATTTGTTTTCCCTCTTCTTCTCATTGAAAGAAGCTGCACACCCTGTTTTCATGGTTCTCTTCCTTCACCTGCATTTCTCGTTAGAGTAGAAGAATTTTCCAGGGTACTTGAATCTGATGTTCATACATTCCTATTACAGGTGCTCAACGTTGATTTGATAAAATAAGCTCCACCTATCAAATTTTCCTTGTCCTAAGCCAACAAGTAACGTTTGCAGAATGACCTATCCATTCCAACAGAGAACCAAGTATACTTGCAAGGGAATACAGAATTTCGTGCGTTTGATCAGTGTTTGTCGTAAAGGATAATTACTTCATGCACTATAAAGACTATACTCATCCACGACGCTCATGAGCATGTCCAGCCATCCAAACGAATGTTTTGTAAACAGAGCCCAGACAAATACAGTAAGTATACGAAACCGGTGAAGAATAAGAAAAGGGGTAGGGAAAATAATAATAGTAGTTATAAAAACTGAATGATAAAGTTATTAACTAAGTATTCCCTGGCCAAGGGAGAGATAAGGGATGTGAAAACTTCTCGGATAAAAAGGCTAGGATTAATAGCTCGAATTCCCACAGCTTTGCTATGTGTAAAAGACGAGTTTGAATACCTTTTGAAAGATGAGATGGTATGCGGTGAATAATTGTGAAAGCAGTGTTCTTATCTACCGAGTGACCACTATCAACGATTACTATTATATTATTTGTCCCTTGGGTTCGTAATGGAACATAGGGATTCAGTAGCAGATCTCTAGTGCACTCTCTTCTCTGAAATCTTTTGAACCTGGCTCCACGACAGCCCACAACCTCTCATTTCCTCCGCGCAAGATCTCCTCCATGTCAGCGACGCCCAACTCGTCGCTTCCCATGTGGGTTCCACTCGAGTGCCTGGCTGGTCTGACGCGTGATGTCCCCAGTCGGCCTTCTCAGTGTTTGCCCAATCGAATCCATCTCCACTTCGTTCTACTGCATATTGGTTCAACGATAGCTTCTTGGTTGGTTCGTTCCCGGAGTTCCTTGTTACTTATTCTTATTATTCTGGCCATCTGAGTTTCAGTAACCAGCCAGCGTGGATGGCAGTTGTTGATGAATGTGTGTAATTTGTTGGAAATGCCTTTCATAACGCGCCAAGTTTCTGAACCGTATAAGAGAACTAACTTGACTGAGGATGGTGTTGAAAATCCGGATGTTGTTCACGCTTTATGCTGATTGGAGTACAGAAGATCTCCACACTAGTTTCAGGTTAATGAACGCCTGTCTTGCTTTTCCGATTCTGACTTTGACGTTCTCATCTGTGCCTGTGCCGCCTGTAGTTGAAACAATGCTGCCTGCTTAGATAGGTGAAAGAGGTTACTTCCTTCAAGTTTCTCCCGTTGATGGTGATTGGAGCTTGTTGGTGGTGGTGGTGGTGGTGGTTGGGTATCATTACCACCTCTGTCTTCTCTATATTCACCTGAAGTCCCGCCTTCCTTGGCTGCCCTGCCTCTTCTGTCATCAACTTGTTAGTCTTCGCCTGTAGATCTTCCAGTTTGTGTGACATCAGGCACAAGTCATCACTGGCGAAATCCAGATCTTCTAGATTCCTTTCCACAGTCCAACCAGCGTATCCACCTCTTCTCACAGCTCCTCACTGTTTGCTGCATGATCCAGTCCAGTCGGCCACAATCAGAAATATCATGGGTGATAGTAGGCAACCTTGTTTCACTCCTGTCTTCACTTCACTTCAGTGGCATCACTAAGCTTTCCATTGTGAATTACTTGGCGGCATGTGGCATCTTCATATAGTTGTTGAATGAGGCTGATAAAGGTTTGTGGTATTCCGTAGTATTGAAGCAGTTTCCAAATTACCTCTCGGTCGACGCTGTCAAAGGTCTTCTCAGAGTCGATGAAGTTGAGTTGAGGTAGAGAGTTGACTGCCATTCTATACTCTGTTCTATGATGATGCGAAGCGCTGCAATTTGATTGGCACACAATTTGTATTTCCTGAGGCCTGCCTGTTCCGGTCGGTCAACGAGGTGAGATAAAACTCAGCTTCTGATGGATTTTATCTGAAATTGTAATTTAATGGGGATGAGGCCGAAGAAGTTATAATCCCGAGACTGTCTAGAGCCATTAAAAGGACCTTCTACGCCGCACAACTTTGTCTATCATTTTCCAGTCGACCATTAGTTGATGCTCAGACAAAAGATAAAGTATCTAGTTTTGCCATTTCTATGTATATTTACAAGTTTAGCTGCTCCTGTGGAGAAAGCTACATTGAGCGTATTACTAGACAACTTAACAAACATGTTTCTGAGCATCTACCTTCATGGTTGGGAAAGGGACAGATAAAATCCATCAGAAGCTGAGTTTTATCTCACCTCGTTGACCGACCGGAACAGGCAGGCCTCAGGAAATACAAATTGTGTGCCAATCAAATTGTAGCGCTTCGCATCATCATAGAACAGAGTATAGAATGGCAGTCAACTCTCTACCTCAACTCAACTTCATCGACTCTGAGAAGACCTTTGACAGCGTCGACCGAGAGGTAATTTGGAAACTGCTTCAATACTACGGAATACCACAAACCTTTATCAGCCTCATTCAACAACTATATGAAGATGCCACATGCCACTGAGGAAAGGAATCTAGAAGATCTGGATTTCGCCAGTGATGACTTGTGCCTGATGTCACACAAACTGGAAGATCTACAGGCGAAGACTAACAAGTTGATGACAGAAGAGGCAGGGCAGCCAAGGAAGGCGGGACTTCAGGTGAATATAGAGAAGACAGAGGTGGTAATGATACCCAACCACCACCACCACCACCACCAACAAGCTCCAATCACCATCAACGGGAGAAACTTGAAGGAAGTAACCTCTTTCACCTATCTAAGCAGGCAGCATTGTTTCAACTACAGGCGGCACAGGCACAGATGAGAACGTCAAAGTCAGAATCGGAAAAGCAAGACAGGCGTTCATTAACCTGAAACTAGTGTGGAGATCTTCTGTACTCCAATCAGCATAAAGCGTGAACAACATCCGGATTTTCAACACCATCCTCAGTCAAGTTAGTTCTCTTATACGGTTCAGAAACTTGGCGCGTTATGAAAGGCATTTCCAACAAATTACACACATTCATCAACAACTGCCATCCACGCTGGCTGGTTACTGAAACTCAGATGGCCAGAATAATAAGAATAAGTAACAAGGAACTCCGGGAACGAACCAACCAAGAAGCTATCGTTGAACC